GGCTACTCAGCTCGGGCTGACTCGAACCGCTGTTGCTCAGAGCTCAAACTCTTGAGCGAGCTCTTAACCAACTGAGCCACTCAGCCGGCCCTTACAGACAACTATTTTTAACTTTATGTAACTATTTTGAACAGCCAACCTATTCCCATAAGTGTTGGTCATATTCACTGCAGGGGTAAAGCTGCTTGGATCTGAAAAGTGTCACTGACTCATCTTTTGAGAAATAAACAAATTAAGACTTTTATTTGGTGTTGTTTAAATATGGGTAAATTTATGACAAACAATGTACAAAGAATGTAACTCTGGGGTGACCTTTACATCCTGGGTGTAAAGGTATTTTTTAGGGGCCAATTTCATAAATTTTAAATTGAAGTTGGAATTAAAAAAGTATATATCCTACTCTATTAGGAAAAGACTTCTGAAGTTGTTAATTCAATAAGAACTTCATATAATTCAGCTAAAAGTACCAGTTATATGAAATAAAAAATTGCTTTAGAACCGTTAACACTGGAAACAGGATATTATTTTCCTTGTAGTAAAATTTCCCAGCTTCTCAAATTTGTTTTCAATTGTTAGATGCTCCCAGGAAACTTGTTGCTTATTTATTTTATTATTTCATGGGTCCTTTCTTACATTTTGTTAAGATCTCACTCAATAAATGTCTCTCAAATGAGCTTTTACTCTTAAAAGAAGTTTTTTTACATCAAGCTACAAAAATAATTAAAAAATAAACATTATCCATATTTATGTATGGAGAATTCATCTTCCCAAATATCTTTAACACTTTAATTTTAGGAAAAAAAAATAGTGCCTTTCTTGAAATAAATCCAACAATACAATTTTAAATGAGGTTATGTTAATGTTAAACTTTTTTCATTAAGATGAGGCTATCTATAGGAAACCTGAACCTCCAGCCACTTCTTTCTTAAGGTTTATTTCATCTTTTTCTCAGAAACCTCATTTAAAGTCAACTAGAAACTGATGTGAGGATCGATGAAAACACCTACTTATAAAATACCTGAGCACAAACTTTCTTTCCTTCAGAAATATCAGCTCTAAGCAGAAGAGACATTAAAAGCAAGTATGTAAAGAAAGAAAACTTAGCTCTCATAAGTAAAAAAAAGGTAAGAAAATCTTATGGAGACGGTGTTTCATGCGGTCCATTGTTAGATGGTAGCCCTCAGAACAGTTCCTTTACAGAAAGTTTTCTGGAGTTAAAATGCAGCACACAACCTGCTGAGCACTCATAGTGTTTCATTATTTATATGCAACTATGTTACTAATAGCAATAATGTGTGCAAGGCAGCCCATAATTTCTTAGCAAAACTAATGCCAAGAAACCAAAGAAAGGTTCTAAAGCATACTCTAATAGGTGGTCTAGAGTTTTTTCTTACAATGCTACATTTAGAGTCAAGCCATGCAATGCTTTCTAGCTTTAAGATTTCAGTGTACTTAAAAATAACAATAGCTCTAAAGAAGATGGCCCTATTTTTGCCTCTCATCAGCTCTGGGAGAAGCAGGTCTTCTTTGCAGATCCTTAGGTTAATGCTTTCTGAGTCTGTCTGTCGCTATCGATTCAACCAGAACGGAAAACTTCCCTTGATTTCTTTTTTGGGAGCCAAGTTAAATTCACTGAACTTATAAAATGTGGTACCTTTTTAATGTGCATGGTAGTCTTATGTATAGCAATGCAGTTCTTATTTTGGGATTCTTTGGGTAACCAAAGTCATTTTTGAAAAAGTTAAATCTGATAACAAACATTTATCTTCACTGTATTTTCCCTTTTTTGGATATCAGGTTGCTTCTCCACATAAGTTGGGTAAGGAGGCGAACTATTTATTTTTTAGACACTGGAAAATACTTTGCCATTTGCCATTGGCTGCTTAATAGAGATTAAGGCTTAAAAACAGGAAAGCTTTTTGAAGATCACAAAATGAAGGGCATTTAAGTATTTCTTTTTGGTATAATTGCCACAGCAACTATCAAGGATAAATTAAAAATACATAACAAATGTACTTTTAATCTTACCATTACTTGTGATTTTAAAGTGGACAAATATGACCTATTAAAAACCCTGGAAAGACTGATGATAAATTTATACTTAATTCCCCAAATAATAAATCATTTAAAATAGGAAAGAATTCTGAGATTTGATTAGACTTTCATATATCATGTCAACATATAAGCTGAAGGTAAGCATATAAATAGTGAAATCCTTAAAAAGAATTTTTATCTTCCTCTAAATACAAGGCTTGGGAAAAAAACAAGGTATTCCCTAGGTGTAGTAAATATTGAAAGCTTGTCCCGAGAGGACTTTTTTCTAATCTTTTACTGCTCATGATCATGACGCTAAATTGAGCTTATCATTTATATGTCATTAAGTGAGCTCTCTTTTAGAAGAAAAACTTGGCTAAGTTCTGACACATTAAAGACTTTCTTAGACAGCTAGCTGCCTTGGTGTTGCATTTATTAATTACTGATGAACGCTAACGAATTAAAGTAGCAGTAAGGCACATGCTCTAGAGATCTAACAGATGGTGTGAAAATACACTGGATTTTATTTTTGTAATTCTAGTATATAAACACACTGACAGAATAACAGTTCTTAGGGAAAGAGCCAGAAACAGGATAAGCTTTCCTTCCAAATTTCTGGCATTTTGTTCACTGAAATGAGATATGAGCGCTACTTGAGTGTAAACGTGGGCCCTTTAACCTACAGGGGTTAGGCAGGAGGTGAGGAGGTGGCAGAAGGAGGTGGGGTGGGGGAGGGGAGAGGAGCGCTGCCATGCTACCCGCCATGCTCAGCCATGTCTTCTCAGTGGGGGGCAGGAGGACTCTGCAGGGATCACTCACCGGGGTGTTGGACTGCTCCGTCAGCTTTTGCTCCCACATCTTCAGGCGTCTTTCTCGTTCCTTGAGCTCCTGCTCTTTAAAGCTGAGGTCACGTTCTAGTTTCTTCAGCCTCTCAAGAGTTGCTTCAATTTCGCACCTGTACAGGGATAACTGGGTTAAGTCTTCACGTTGCTCAGGAGGTATTATTAAATGCTTAGTGGGTCCATCAGAATGCTTAATCGAGGTATAAGGCTCTTTACAGTGTATAAAAGGCGATGTATTGTATCTTATCCTCACAAAAGCCCCAAGAAACAGGTGCTAATCTCAGATAGAGAGATATGGGAAAGTTATACTCAGGGTAGGTGATCAGTATCACAATATTAGTAAATTTACGTTAGCCTACTCACTGGATGTGTAACTCAAGCAATCAGTTGATTCAGTTGACTCAGTTTCCTCAGTTATATCAGGGCTCCCCAATTTGCCTGATCCTGATAAAAACCTTGGGCAGCTTGTGAAACAAACAATAAAACAGATTCCTAGGATCCTTCCTTAGAGCTCACGATTCAGTAGGGCTGGGTGGGGCCTAGGAATTTCCATTATTTAATAAAAGACCCAGGTAATTTTTACAATCAGGTAAATGTGGGAAATTCTGGGCCAGATGAATTCTAAGGTTCTTTTAAGGTTCTTTTGTAACTCTAATAATTGTAAAATTAAGTTCCTGCCCTAGTCTCTATAGGCTGACGAACCCCACCGCGTAGAGGACCATGTCTAGTTGTTATAGAAACCTGTCCTTGACAGACATGGAAGCTGGTAAAATGGCTCAGTGCAAATTTCTTTTCTCCTCCAGGACTATCATAATGCTTACGTCTACATTTATGCTGTAATTTTGACAACGGTAATGAGAAAATGAGAGAAAGAAGAAGAGAGGGATGGAGGGAGAACGAAGAGGGAGAGGAGGAAAGGAGCAGGGGAAGAGTGGGAGACGAGTCAGGGAAGCAGAGCTGGAGGCGGCAGACAGAGCGCAGGGTGCGGAAGGAGAGGCTGGAAACAGGTGACTATGGAGATGAGCACCTGAGTGCTGTCAACAGCTGCTGCCAGGTGCCACTAAGACAAACCCGCATGACAGAATGCGTAGTTCTGGTTGACACCTTGACCATGGAAGGTAGAAGCCCCCAGACCTAAGTTAATGAATATATGCAACAAAAATATGCCTTTTTATTTCCAGGGAAAAACAGAATAAGTGGACGGCTTATTACAATGCCCTTGTAGATGAGAGCTAACTGAATGAAAACCAAAAGGTTCTGGGTGTTAATGGGCAAAACGCAGCTCAAGGAACAGCCACTGAGCTGGGCCTGGATTCGGGCCTGACACTTTCCTTCCCTGGTTGTCTGGAAGGTAGCTCAGAGCAAGGGAGGTGGCGAGTAAGTATAAAAGCACCTGCTGTCCAACAGCACCTTTTATTGGTGCCATTTGAAAATTATAAAAACTTATAGTAAAGTCACACTGTAATCCCTAAAGAAAGAAAACTGAATCAGCAATCTTTCAGCATTATGACTGTATCATAAATCCAAATTTTATCCCTGATATTTCAGATATAAATATTATAGCCATTCATCAATAAGCTTGTTTTTATTTTTCAAATGTTAGACTGAGGGAAAAAAATATGGAAAACCTTAAACTTTTGTAATAAAAAAAGAAAAAAACGAGCCATCTTCAGTAAATGGGAGGGTAAGAGGGTGACCAAAGGAAGCAGCAGACCTGGGTGCACTTGGTGGCAAGAGTGCAGTGGCCTGGGTTGCTATCTATGCAGTGCTTCTGCCAAGCCAGTCCCAACTCTTCTGCCAGGGAGGCTGATCTCACTGATGTTTTTTGATCAGGGAAAATGGCAAAACACATTTGATTTCACTTGTAATTTAAACCGAGGACTCATCTTAAGTTCCAGCTCTGGGAGCCCACTGTGATTTCTGAGCCCGTCTGGAAAACAGATCAACAGGTAAACTGAAAGCTCTGACACAAAAAAACAAACACTGACTGAGGAAATATTCTTCCTCAATCTGTCTCCGCAGGCCTAGCTTCCCAACATGGCTCCCACAGACGCCCCAGGGCCTGACAGTACTGTTTAAGGTTACAGGCCATAAGGAGTAAACCAGACCCCAGGGCAACATAAAGACAGCTGCTCCCCTTGCTGTTCCGTTTTTTTTTGATGCATTGTTTCGCAGCAAATGCATCTGTTGATGCATTTATATAAACTTCCCTTTCTAAAAATATAGCTGACATGTTTTAACTGATGAAAGTTATGGTTTTACTGTTAAACCAAATCTAACCAAGATTGACTTCAACTAATATTAATTTTCCATATACCTAAAATGGACAATGAACTGTAATTGTCTTCTTTTATTAGACAGAAACTCATTTTGAAATAAAAAGTCCATTTGTAAAAACAGCTTTATTTTATAAATATATATTATATGATACATATATAATATGCATATTAAATTTAGTGTTAGGTTTTAAATGATATGTGCTAATGTCCAAACTGCAAAGATTAAATTTTTTGGATCTGTTTTTTGCTTCTAAGAAGGTGTGCCCCCGTGAGAGTATTTTGATCACCAAGGAAGAACATAACCAACAAAGCGTTTTGCCAAGAGACACAGGTGTGAAGCCTCCATCCCAGCGCCACAGAGCTCACTCCGGGTAGACTACCACGGGCCTGTAGACAGTCACATGGGGTAATGAAAACTGGAACAGGATGACACGATTTTCTGTTCTTAATGCTCACTGCCATTATTGCTAACAAATCAACAGGAGGAGAAACAAGCTGAAGAGGTGATGGAGGAGGAAATGCCTGACGCTAGATTTCTTCCCTATCATTTCTTAGGGTGAAGGAAAGAACATAGCTTAGGTGGTTTTTAATAAGCTAGCTTTAAAAAGAATTTCCAGAACAATCCTTTAATTTTCTAAAATGAGATGTTCCATCTGGTCTTCGTTTAGAGGAGGCTCTACCAGAAAACAACATTTGCCAAAACACAAGCGCAGGACTGGAATCCCACTTCACGGTGACTTTTAACATGAAACACACGTTTGGACAACAGTTATGTGGTTTCAGACTCCAGACCAAATGGGGAAAAGAGGGGAGTGGTCTGCATGCATTGTCTCTTGAAATACCCAGATGATTGACAACACTGAATTCTTTTCAGCACTTGGTATATTGAGTGAGATAGTTGTTTTACCTTAATCATAACCTGCAACCGTCATGCCCAGTAATATTTCTCTATGCTACAAGGGGATCTAGTCAAGTGAACACTGCCTGCTAACAAGTGGATGGCATAACCATGGCCACAAGCCCAGGAAGAGCGCAGCACAGCGCGAGTACCGCTCAGGCCTGTGGGATCAGACCATCTGGGTGCCACTTCTGGCTCTGTCTACACGACATGATCTTGGGCAGGTTACCCACCCTGGCCAGGACTCGGATTTTGCATCTGTAATGTGTTAGGGTTGCTATGTGTATTAAAAAAGATAATCCACATAAAGTACAAGTACCTGATAAAAATGTAATACAGCTATGTTTATTATTGTTATTTTAGTTAACGTTATTGTTCCCCATGTTTTTATCCAATGGCCAAGTGCAGTTAAAACAGCTCTGCTGCTTCTCAAACTGTGGTTTAGGTAAAGATTCTATGCTCTCTGGATTGACTAGTTCACCTTTTACTAAAATACATGAATGTATTACCAATTTTATTCCTCTCATCTTTTCATCTTGAAGCATTTAAAAAATTAAATTTATTATTCAACTAATCCAGGTTTATTGTAGAAAGTAAAGATATACGAACAGAAAATACTCTTCCATAATCTCATTACCCAATAACACTGACCTTTTGATACTTTTCTCTATGTACACATACATATACACATAAATGTTTATTTTACAAAAAAATGGAACCATTCTAAATATACTGGACTGTAGCCCCTATTTTAAAATAATTTATCACATCTGTATTATCACTGAATGGCTCCCTACTACTATTCTGTGAATACAGATATAATTTTTAAAAACCATAAGAATCACAGAAAATAAAAAAAAATAAATCTTTTATTGCACTTTATGCCATTTCCAGTTTTACAATTCTAATGACACTGTGATAAACAGGCATCCATACATTCTTGCACAATCTCCTCATTTATTTTTTTAGAAACATCTTTCTTTAGAAAGCTAGTATTTTCCCACTAGCAATGTATGAGACAGTTTATAACACTGGATAGTTTCGTAATATAAATTTTTGCCAATCTGATACATGAGTTATGTTCCTTTATATTTATCTGATTGCTAAGTGAGGTTGAGTATATTTCATGTTTCTTGGTTACTGGGTTTCTCCTTTTGTGAAAAGCCTTTTCATGTCCTTTAGTATGATATTTTAATTAAAATCGTATTTTAATGACTGTAACTCTGTCATGGTGGTTTTCAAAGGGCAGTCTAGGGACCCATGAGAGCTTTTCAAAGGATTCTAGAGGTTAAATTGGTTTTCACAGTAACATGAAGACTTGATTTACCTTTTCTACTCTCATTCTCTCACAAGTGTGCAGACTTTTCTAGAGGCTTCATGACGTGTCATAGTGCCATAGGCTGAATGCAGAAGCAGGATTTATTATTATTTTTAAAATGTATCAGTAAATACATATTTTTCTCAGTTCTAATTTTGAATGTGATAACTATTGATAGATAGAACTCATTTAAACAAAAGCTCTTTGGAGTCCTCAATAATTTTTCAAAATGTAAGAAGTCCAGAGATCAAAAACTTTTAGAACTGCTCATCTGTTATACAGGAAAAATAAAGTTCCGACAGTATGGCATTTGATTTGGAAATTTATTGATGAGGGATACTGCTTTTGGCCATAAGGAGGTTTTACATTCTTATAAAGAAAACTTACCAACTTTCCCTGTTGTTTGATTTTGTCACATACTTTATAAGATTCCCTATCTCAAGGGTATTAATAGTATTAAAATCCTACAAATCCTGTGGCTAACAGATCAAGCAGCATTTCCTCAAGGAATCGTTTAATTATATCCTCGGACTAGATTAGATTTCATGGTTATACATCCTCAGATGTCCAGTACTTCACTGACATAAGACTTCTCAAAATAGTAATGAAATAATTCCTTGTATATTTATATTTGGTAGTTTAATACTGGACACTCCATGTGCATTGGGGTTGTTCTGCTCATCACCAAACCCCAACACCTAGAAGGGCACCTTGTCCCAGCAGACATTCAATGAATATCTGAATGAATGAATGTAAAAAACACATTGGTTGGCAAACAAATTCACTTACACATTTATATTTTCTTGTGTAACACCATCTTGTCTTTTTATATTATTGTCACCATGGTATTTCCTTCCCCAAATTATTTATTGAGCAAAGCATGTTCTGCTATGTTCAAGGCACATTCTAGAAGCTGTAAGTCTAGTGATGAATGGAAGAGATTAGCTGACTCTCTTACATTTTAGTCAGTGAGACACACATTAAACAAACTGCAGAATTACTTATTAATTCCAAAAGCAGCAATGGGCTATGAAGGAGTACTCTGGGAGCACATAAAGTGGAGGGAGCCTCATCTAGTCAGGAGCCAGGAAACACTTCTGGAAGACATGTTATTTCAGCTGCTCTCTGAATAACAAACAGGAGTCAAGTTAGGAGTGGGCGTCAGGGGCGGTTTTCAAACAGGGAAGAGCTTTAAACAGGAGAAACTATATTTTGCAAAAACTCTGAATGAGGTAGAAATATAGCTGTTGAGGGACTCAAAGCCAGAGCTCGAGGCCGGTGATGCTCTTAAGACGAGGCTGCTGAGGCCAGAGTACAGCAGTTCTCATGAGTCCTGTTAAGAATTTTGGCCTCTGTGCTTGAGTAATGGGAACTCTAAATCTACATAAACAGAGGGATATGATTGGATTTGCACTGAACTCTTACCGTAGGAAATAAATCTTACTTACATGTTTTGTTATTTCAGCCCAGAACAAAGTCCCTCATATCTAGACTACAGCAGGCTGTTTTACTTTTGTACCATAAATAAAATTTCACTGAACTCGCTGGCCTTTGATAAAGATTTCAGAAGAATAAAAATAAATAAGGTTATTGAAAAACGCCAACTAAAGAGAAGGCCCAAAGACATGTCTAATAACAGGAGTAAACAGTTCCATCGTTTTCAAAGTACATGCAGTATTCACTTGGCATCAGCAGGTGGCGTAAGGTGTCACATTACTGCCATGGCTCTAGAAGCAGAGAAGTTACTTAAATCTCTGCTGAGTCAGGGAGGCATAATGTCAGCTCCCAAACATGCTATTTATATTCGTGCGTCATGTGACCTGGCTCAAATGTCTCATCCCAGGCTTACTTCTTCCACTCACACAATACAATTTTCTCATTACTAAATTTGTTTTACACTTGACAAAATTCAATAGGATTTATAACATCAAAAGTTTCCTTTAAAAAGTATTTTTATAGTCTCTCTACCTCCTCCATCCACAGATGTAGTGCTCTGCAAATTTCCAGGCAAAGAGTATTTTTATTTCTCCCTGGACAGAGGCCAAAGCTTCCTAACAGAGTGTACACAGAGAAAAGTCTGGTAACTGTCTTTTGTCTCGGAAGATAGGATTTCAATATTCTTTCCAATATTCACACCTATGATAAGGAAACAAGCTTGGAGGAACACTCTCTTTTGCTTACATGTGAAATGGAGAGCTTATTAGATCTCCAAGAATGTTAACACAATAAACAAAAGAAAAAGCCCCAATTTCTAAGCTATACTTAGAAATCGGACTGTCATCGAGTTTTCTGGTTCTCTTCTTCACTGAAGCTAGCCATGGTCCTTTTAAAGCCAGAGGCTATGACTGCTGAACAAGGCCCACCTACCTCCACTCGGCCTTGTTGTGCAGGAATGAGTTACACTGGTCAGGAAGGTTAGTGTCATTTGACATGGAGTCCAGAATTGAAATGATCTGCTTGAAAGATGGCCGTTTCTGAAGAAGAAAAAAATAAATAATCACTTCTTAGGAATTAAGAAAGTATATCTTTAAGAGAAAACCCACAAGTATAGTAGTAATAAACTCTACTCATCATAACAAAATAAAATATGATGTCATGTCCTGACTTAGTTATTTTATAACCGTCAGACCAGACAGGTTTAGGGAACTATATTCCTTATTTTCGATCAATTATTCATAATAATAGACTTGGATGTCATCTTTCTATCTTGTGGCCTCAGGCTGAAATAATTACAGTTTTCTCCAAGTAGGGGAAGTACTAATTCTCTCTTTTGGGTATGATTAAGCACTCCTAAAAGGCAAAAGTTAAGTCCTTTAAAAATCCACCTAGGTGATAAAGCAAGCTTGGAAAAGTTGCGTCTAGGTGGCAGGTAGACTAGTGTTCACTGTATAAGTCTCTCAATTGAAAATTTTACAATAAAATGTTGGGGAAAAATCAACTTACCAATCTATTAGAACTCACAAAATTTCCTAAACCAGTTGCTCAGGAAAATTCCCCAATTTTAAAGCCATCATACCTTCATTATTCTCAATGTTTATTCCACATTATTGTAACTAGCTTTGGTGCTAGGAAATGCTAAGGTACTATTTACTAGAAATTGAAAAAGGAGTGGTTAGGTGTATTTCTTTAGCTAGCAGTAACTACGCTAGTATATCTCTTTAGGTTCCAGCCAAGGTTGAGACAAAAGGTTAAAACAAAAATGCAGAGAGATAATAAAAGGATGATGCACCTTCTCTATTCATCACGCCTCATAATTATATCATTTCTGAACAAATTACAGTTGCAGCAATTAAAACATGCATTTTAATTTAGGAGCACAAAAACAAGAAGGAACAATGTTGAGGTGCCTTGCTCTCAGGATTTGAAAGCTTCTTACATTTACAAAGGCAATTTTTCCATTTCTCAGGAATATAAAGCTGAGATATTTATTCTGACCTCTGCCACTATTGTACTCTTTTAAGGGTATGTGCATGTGTACCTTTATGTATTTTTTTTTTAAAGAAGAGGGCATAAGTAGCAAAATGTCACTGATACACATTAAACCTAATAAGCAAAAAAAAAAAAAAACGCTTTAAGTAGGAAATTTGAAAAATATTCTGTTTGTCTTCTTTTGACTTTGTTTCCACTTGAATTTCTCCCACTATGTGTCAGGTTACAAAAGGAAAAACAATGCTTTAATTATCTGCACAGGAACTAGTTATATAACAAATACAGCATTTTTATTTTGTATGAAAAAGCAGCAGGAGGAGCTAATGAATTTTTAAAGGATAATATTTCCCCCTACATTGAATCATTCTTGAAATAATGTGAAATTCTTTGGTGACTGGATGACAGGTATCCCTAGAAAAATCTTAATTTTACAGTTCGAATATGCTCTCAGATGGAAATTATCAAAGTGAGCATTTAAAAAGTAACAATGTAGAATTTTGTGGTGATATTTTATGAGTATTCTGGTTACAGAATACAACACTTGGTCTAGGATCTTACGTAAGTTCCTCTGAAGGGACTTAGTCTCCTCTTAGGTGTTATGTAGGCTTTGCTTACTTAAAAGTCACAACTAGGACCACTTATTGAACATCTACATACAGTATTGCTTTAGTCGTATCTTCATTTTATAGATAATCAGTCTCACAAAAGTATGAAATGCCCAGTATCACACAGGAAGCAAGTCACCGAACCAGGGATCATGCACTTAAACCCTTCAAAATGTTTTATCACATGAGGGTAAGATGTTACTTCCTATCAAACTCAGGACTGTACACTTTTTTTTTTCTTATTTAGAAATTCCACTTTAGAACTTGAACCAATACCTACCTTTACTTCCTTCTTTTCTTTGATAAAATATTTTGAGCATCTGGGGTAAACCATGGGAATGACCTGATATTTACCTAATGTCAACTTTCTCTTGTGTACATTTCCCCCTCTTCATTACAAAAGAACATAGTTTTATAGATAAGATGAATATTTTAATCAATGTGTTAATACACCTAAGGACTGAAAAAAACATTTAACCATTACTTCATATACATGCACAGGACTGGCACCAACTTCTGGCTGAATTGCTGCCTACTTCTAAGCCAGAGAAATAAAATGTGCTTCCCAGGGCCGGACAAGTGGCGCATTGGTTAGGAGTTGGCTTGGGATACCAACTCTGAGCAGCAGGGCCCCGGTTCAGATCCCACATGAGGGCCAGTGATACCGCCCTCTACAGCTAAGATGGTGAACAACAGCTTGACCTGGAGCTGGGCTGCTATGAGTCGCCAGTGACAGCGTAGGCTGCAGTCCCTGCTGCAGTGGGCTGCCTTGAGCTACCGTGAGTGGCTGGCAGCCGGCATGAGCTGCCGTGAGCCACTGTCCAATGGCCGGTGACCGATCTGCCTCAGCGGGGAAGAGCGCAATGATCCCAATACCAACATGGGCCAGTGAAGCAACATCCTCCACAACTAGACTGAAGAACAAAAGGACAGCAACTTGCCTGTTCCCCTTCCCCGATTCCCCAACGCTGTTCCCTTCCCCCAATTCCCCAATAAACTCTTTAAAAAAAAAAAAGTGCTTCTCAGGAAATAAGCCTTGGTTGGCTATTTCAGTCAACCACAAACTGGGCATCTACTTACTCAATTTATACAAGGTGCTATAGGGAAACACACATAAAAAACCCAACTCTATTTCCTTAGAGAGCCTGCAATCTATTTAGGAAGAAAATATATTTAAAAAAAAATACAACAGTACAACGTAAGGCAGTAGCCTAGATTGTGGTTTAGGAAAAGGAATACTAATTACGGCCTGGTATTAAACAGCATAACTGGGGAAGCCTGATGATGAAGTAATCAGGGGAGGAAAGGGAAGAAGGGAGAGTATGTTCAAGGAATTAAGGTGTGTGGGCGGTGTCCAGGGTGGGTCAGCAAAGAGAGAGCTGGGGCTGCAAGCTGCTGCTGGCTGTATAACCGCATCAAATACAGGGCCATGCATTAATCTTATCAGAATAAAACATCATGAATTTAGGAAATAAAAATCAACCTAACTTATACTTCACATGGCTAAAACACAAGATCTCTTTGGTCCTAAAGAAGGGTTAGCTTACGACATGTTAAAGGCATGCCAATGTCATGGCATCAACATGGGGCGTAATGTCCATGTTGTGTTAGGTGATTACACTATCATTTAATTAATGCACCCTAAATGTATAGTCTTAGAATTTTAATTAATGTGGTACAGAGTTCCTGATTAAGAAATTCAAAACCTATTTTGCATACTGAAATATAATTACAATTACAGAGATCTAGCTGCACTTATCTAATTCAATGCAAATAATTTCAGGTGAAATTTCTATTTAAATGTCAGAGAGGAAAACACTGACAAAATTACTGTATGCGTCACAATGGACAATTAACTGGTAGAAAGAATAGGAAAAGGGTGATGCCATTTTAACAGTATAAAATAAGTTCTAGAGCAAGCTTGCAAACAGCCATTTGTAGTTTCTACTGGATTAGTTGCAAAGTCTAGGCATTTCTCTTAATGCTCAAAAATCCCCATAGTCTGCAAAATCCCACACAAAAATAACAGGGCCTAACCAGAGGCAGGATTGACCACTCAAAACCTATGCAACTTTGTCATAGCATACGAATAAAACAGTAGCTCTCCTAAGTAAAAATACTAACACAGTTAAAGCAAATATGTTAAATTCTTTTTTTTTAAGGAGGATGCAGCTCACAGTGGCCCATGGGAGGATTGAGCCAGCAACCTTGGTGTTATCAGCACCATGCTCTAACCAACTGAGCTAACCGGTCACACCCGCTAAATTCTTTAATAAAAACAGTACTGACACGGGACTCTAAGAAAGGGTGAAGGTCGTTTGATGAATAGGCATGAAAGCAAAGATTGAGGCTGCTGGTTATGAGGGGAAAGGCAAAATGCTCAAGGCTGGGGAGAAGTAGCCACAAACCCTGGCCAGCCCAGCCACAGGAGCACGTGGGTGAGGCGGCTTGCAGCTCCGGGTCCCTTGTTGCGCTGCTGGCCACACTACTGTACCTGATGTTCAGCTGTTCTCACTGGTGCGGAACAATGTGCTGGGAAACTGTACATATGATTCACTGGGAATTCTGATTTGCATTAACACAATACCCATACTCGCCAATTGTTGATGAGTTATTCCCACTAGAGAAACATGTAGGAGAGCACAGTGGATGTTATCAGCACTCATTCTTCTTGAGGGTCACACTGGAATTGGGTTTAACTTAAGGAAGAAATTCCATTCTTAAGTTTTTCTTTTTAGATCTCTATTTATAAATTCAGTTTGTAATATATCTATTTCCACAAAAAATTGCACAAATGAGAACGACAGAATTTTAATTCCTTTCTTCAGTATAATTCTCTTTCATTGTAATGTTTAATCTGTGAGGACCTTTTTTTTTTCAAGTTTCTTTACTTTTTATTATGGAAAATTCCAAACGTACACAGCAGTAGAGAGGACAATATGATGAACCTCCATTTACTTATCACTCAGCTTCAAAAATGATCATGGTCTTATTTCATCTATACTGTCATCCATTTCCCTTCACTTTATTTTGAAGCAAATCCAAGATAAGCCTACCATTTTATCTCTAAATATTTCCGTATGTATGTGAGGGGCTTTTAAAATCATCTTTGCAGGGAAAGGAAATGGGCCATTCATGCTCAAATGTGATAACCACATGAAAGTTGAGTTTTGGAATTCCTCCAACTCTATTGTGATAGCTTAAAAAAAAATCACTGAAACGGGACAGGAAATACACATATCAAGGTTCTGTGAAAGTGCTACTTTGCCTGGTCTTTGGTTAGAAAGTCAATACAGTGTAATGGTTAAGAGCAGGGGCCCATGTCGGACTGCTCGGGTTCACATCCAGCCCCCACCCCTTACTGGTTGTGTGGCATTGAGCTTAGTACTTAACCTCTGTGTGCCTTGATTCTTCACCTATAAAATGAAGATCATAACAGTACCGACTTCACAGAGGAATAAATGAGTTAATATACATAAAATACTTGGAACAGTGCCTGACATAGAATGAGCTCTGTGTGCTAGCCATCTTTATAACACGAAGGTGCAACAGTTATTATTAAAGATTAAAAAGAAAGGAACAAACTTCTCTTTATTGAGTCAAGGAATGCCAGAGTGCTGTAAGAAAGAGCCAATAATGAGTTTCCAGGAATCGAGATGAGCAGATGCCAACAAGAAGCCTTAACAGTCAATATGGGGAACAGAAACTGAAGCCTAGCTTCGCTTTGTAATGATGTTATTACCGCATTTTAAAAACACAAATCAAACAAACAAGGGAAATTTCAGAATTCTGAACAACAAAAATATATACATACCTTGGCATCAGCTTCCCAACACTGATGTAACAGTTCAGCAAAACTCCTAGGGCAACTGCTTGGAATGGTTAATCTCTACAAAAGAGAAAGTAAAAAACAAAGGAAAAGAAAATAAAACACAAGGATTTACTCATTAAGGAAACCAAATACTAATTGAAGAGTCATAAGGGAGTTAATTTAAGAGCCTAAACAAGATATTACATCTAAATCTTCCATTGATTAATATATGACAGGTGAGAATTTATGTTTAGATTCATAATCTAATCTCTAAAGATACTTATACTTTTCCTCTAAAAAGAAATCACAGTGGATGGAGAATCAGGTTCTGCGCAACAAATGCTGTAAGTACAGAATCACATCTATAAGGAACTATAAGGAACTATAGTAAGAGGGAGGCCAGTTGGGACTTAAATACTAAATCTAAAACCACAAATCTATCACTGTACTTTATAGGCAACTATGAAATAATGCCAACAGGCTGGACAACTCAGACCCCAGTTCAGCTTTGGCAGTAGATATACAACCCTGAAAACATTTTCAGTATAGACAGTCACAAAGATAATTTTAAAGAAGTATGCGTTTTCCCACTGGTAAATAAGACATTCTGAATGTATGACTCATTGTGGCTTAGTTGTGGTCAAACCCATAAAATGTAGGACCTATTACAGCAAAGATTATAAGGTGAACATCACTCCTACCCTAACATTCTAGAATAGTTGTTCTCAGAGGCTGTTTAGAAATCTACGGAGGCATTTTTGGTTTGTTTCAAAGACTGGAGGGTTGCACTAGGATCAGGTCAAGAGTGCTAGCCGTCCTTCAATATGCCGTGAAGTCCGACACGATTAAGAACTCTCGCGTTCCGTCAAACTTCCAATGCCCCATGTGTACTCATGTAAGTAAAACAAGTCAACAGTGAGGCTGACAATGTCCCGAGCCTCGAATCTCTCACTTACAAATAAACACACAGTATTTTTTGAACAGTTTTTAAATGCACTGAACTTTCTAAGAATGCAACTACCAAATAAAATAAATAAAGGGCAGACCGATTTTTGCATTATTCATAACTTAACCTAATTTTTGGGAAAATGTCAGCATGGTTCATGCTACTGGAGTCACTAACCCAACTCTGTTCTGCATTTGCAGCTGCTGAAGTCTATTTATCCAGAGCTGCAAGCATCAACTGCTCCGTGCACTCTTCTACGGTGCTCATGCCTGAGCATCCACATATTGCAATATGCAGTTCATTAATTTCCTCCTTATAGTACAGTTACAGCGTTATATTGACATAAAATATAACGCATGTAGGTAGGCTGTATTATCTCCGACTTTCATTTCAGGGAACTAGAAGGGCGTTAACACAGCAGTTATAAAAAGAGCACTAGTGGTGGAGCTGAGAACTACTGTGCTAAGTACTGAGACTTATTCTGCAGTATTGTTTGCCAAAGAAGTTTTGCAAATAAAAAACTTAGAACTGAACTTAGTTGGATTTGGGGGAGACTACTGAGTAAAACTAGGAAAATAGTTGCGTTGGCAAGAAAACAGACAATCTGTATTTGGAATTACAGATAACCTTAAAATCAAAATAAAACAAAGTAAAAAAAATAAAATAAAATAAAACCAAACAACCCTCTCCAAGTTACAGGCTATGCTAAGCATTTTTTAACTTCTAGCCTTTTGATTTTGTAGAATAGAGCACGATGTAATAAACTGTATTATTATTTTACTGTAATGTGAACTGGAAACCTTTCGATGAAGGTAAAAAGAAAAACCAGGTATTTACTTAAAAAAAAATAGATGGTTGGGGGTGGCAACTAATAAAAACAGACAGTAATTGCAATTATGCAACCAAATGTACCTCATGTATAACGAAAAATAATTTATCATAAAGGGTAACATTTTCAACACAATTTTACTTCAACATTTTCTCCAAGAACTGAAATGTGAACTGGATGGATATAAATGTTCATAATTTCTATCATCTTTTCTCACTGACAAACTTTTTAGATATCATATCTGAGACATACAAGAAGATGTCATTATTTTAAATTATCTGACATGGTCAAATATCAGTTAAATCTAGACTCAGACACTTTATGTAAGTGATTATTTTGGTACATTAAAAAGTAGTTTAAAATAAAATTTAAAATATTTGAGTCCTGATTACATAACTGTGGATACTCCGAATGCATTAAAACATTCTGAAACAATCAGATATTAGCACCAGGTTTGCAATACTACTTAAAACTTAAATATTAAAAAATAAAAACAGTTGCAAATTTAAAATTAAAATATTTCTCAACTACTAAATTAGGCTTGACATTTAAGATCATATTCTTTTATGCACCATTTTCTATGTAAGATGCAAAAATTATTTTTAAGACAAGTTTATTATCTTTTTCTAAAGTATAGCCAAAAACAGTGAATTAAGGTTTTTGAGGATTTCTATGTTAATCAACAGTTTGCTACTTAGAACAAAACATATTTTACATGAGAATCTAAGTATTTATAAAGATAAAAACTATGCTGCAAGAACATTCTGAATGACCACGAATTGGGATTTGTGGAAATTATAAAGGCAAATATATGTATTTGTTATATTTTTAAAATTTATTAGTAATGCCCTCTAACTTTCATGCCTTCTATAAGGCTTCATTGTTTGCTTTGTAAAGTTTAACAGTGCTTTATGGATCTAATTTTAATAGGATTTAATATGAGGAAAAATGATTGTTTCAAGACCTTATTTCATTATTAAGAGTTTAGAAGCAGAGACCTTCAGATATGATTTTTAGAATGTACTGATCTTCCTATAGCTGCAAAAATCAATCTTAAATATGAAACTTAATAAAGTCTACAATTTAGTTAAGAGTAATGTATCAGTATAGCATAAGGAATACAGTCAATAATACTGTAATAATTATGTATGCTGCCATGTGGGTACTTATTGGAGGGATCTCTTTGTAAGTTATATAAATGTCTAACCACTATGCTGTACACCTGAAACTAATATAATAATGAATGTCAACTGTAATTGAAAAAAATTTTTAAAAATTAAAAAAGTAATATATCAATGCCAATTTCTAGGTTTTGATGTTATATACCTATATGTCACCAGCAGGGGAAGGTGGGTAAAGGTACACAGAATTCTTTGTAATATATATATTTTTAAGAATGTGCATTTTTTCTTTTATTAAATTAAAAAAAAATTTTTTTGGGGGTAACTGCATTTTTTCCAGGACCCATCAGCTCCAAGTCAAGTTGTTGTCCTTCAACCTAGTTGTGGGGGGGCACAGCTCAGTTCTAAGTCCAGTCGCCGTTTTCAATCTAGTTGCAGGGGGCGCAGCTCACTGGCCCATGTAGGAATTGAACTGGCACCCTTGTTGTTTAGAGCACACGCTCCAACCAACTGGGCCGCCCTCTTTGAAAGATTTTGCAACTTCCTGTGAGTCTTTTATTATTTCAGAATAAAACGCTAAAAGTAAAGGTAACCCTAATATTTGGATATAGGTATATTTCAGAGTCACATTTGAAATGTCTCCCTGAAAGTTTAAACACATCATTCTTTGTTTAAATGAGGCCTGTTGTTTTTTTTAAATACAGCTTTCTCTTTTCAACTCAATAACCTAAGGTATTCCAAAGTAAAAATAAATAAGATAATTAAAAGTTAAGGTGATTTGTACATTATATTTAAGTCACATTCTCAATTTTATTATGAAATGAAATGAATCCTAGGGAATTATTTTAATGCTATGTCAACAGAATTTCTTCTTGTAGTAAGTGTCTCCACTTAAGAGGTGAAATGAAGACACCTTCTTGAATAATGACAATGGAAACTACATATAAACTTAATTTCCATATTTTTGACAAATAAATATTGTGCAGAATCAGAATAGATAAAAATCCTTGTAATACCCAATTTTCCTTAAGTTCATTAGGAAGTTGAGGAAACTTATTTCACCACATGGGTTTCTTTCAATTTATATGTAATAAATACAGTAAGGGAGGTATTTTAGTAGTTTCCATCAGTTATCAGCTGACCATCAGATCACATCATAGATAAGATAGTGCAAGCTACTTTAGGGGACCCCTGGAGAGAAAGGGGGAGATCATGTACTTGTTGAGGAGGTTCTGAAGGTTAGTTATGGACGATTCCCAACCTGCAAGTCAACTATCCAAAGGCAGCTTCTAAATTCATGCTTCTCTTCAGCTTTAAAATTCCTTGATGGATACGCCAATGTTTTGAAAGGGCTTTAGGTTCATACTTATTTTGCCATCCTTTAGATGAAATATTATTTAAAAGTGTTATTCTCTCTTATACATATTTGAAGGGTCCAATGAGCCTTAAAAAAAAGCTTTCTTCTCGTTTATCTTGAAACGATGTGGAGTGCTTTGCTCCAAAGTCAACAGAAGGTCAATAATTTTCTTCACTCTCATTTGTAAACCCAGAACCAAATATCTAATCATCTCACTGGCAAAAGAAAACAACAAAAAAAAGAAAACACACACACACACACACACACACACACACACACAAACCCCAAAACCCCAAACCCCAAAACAGAACAGAAACAAGTGGGTTCTCATATCATGAAAACATCAGTTATCCTGTGTGTAAGGTCTGATTTAATAACACACCAGGAATTGCTATCACATTTAATTAAAACAGAGCAGCTCCTGTGAAACAATGAGCAGACACATTCTTGAACAGAACTCTGTTTCATTTTTCTTAAATTGGCAGCTCTCTCCCATCAAATTCAGCAATCATGAACATTTCATCCATTCTCAATGGCTGAGGAGGACAAATTAATAAGATAGCTCTGGATTATGTGATCTAAAATATGGAGACTTGGTTTTTCTTAGCCAATAGCAGCTTTTTTATTTAAATCTAGTTTGTTCCAGCACTCACATGGGGAGCAGATCTAATTCTTTTAGAGCATTCAAAAAGAACTCTTTCTATATATTCACCTTTTACAAATTATTTTATCCTCAGGTTGCACTCTTACCCTTTGTGGAGGGCACAGACAAGGTTTGGAAATGAAGAAGTTTTGTGAAATAAAGTTGTTTTGCATTGCAAAGACAACTGCATGCTTCCATTACATGAGCTAAGTTCTCATAATACCTTGATATTGGATGCTTCATCCTTATGCTGAAAATTTCCATGGCTGTGCGTTTCAGTCACAATTTTAAACCTTTCAAAATGTAGTTGCTCCCTTTGATATGAATGTACCATGTTCTCTGATGTAGGCTCATAGGTCCAACTAACTGAAAGCCTCAATTTGTGGGAAGAAGAAAAGCGAAGCTGGGGACACAGCACAAACGGTGTTTACGCCACTGAAGTTCTTTTGAAATGGAAAGGCTCTGCATGAAGAAGCGAACAGTTATGCCACTGCCTCGCCAATTCCAGTGAGGAGCTCATCTTCAATGTAGTGTTCAACGTAGGTGGCAAAACTGTAATTTTTCCCTTTTTTGAAACTATTTTTTCTTCTTTTATTTTTGAAATTCTCATCTAAGCGACAGTTTCTTGTACTCTAGTGACTCCTGCTGGGAGAGGTAAGTTGAAGTAGCTGAAGGTCTCTTACAGATATATCAACTCCCGGCCAGTAAAAAAGATGTCCTAAACGCAGGAGATGGAGTTAAACTGTTCCCCTACCTTGGACGCAATGGCTTCTTTCATCACTAAGAACAAACCCCTAGGTTTTACAATTGAGACTGAGAAACTAGTACAGTACTTGTACGATTTTTGATCTACAGCATCACGACGTGAAGCTGCAACAATTAGATGTAAAGGGTCCATTCATGAGGAATAACATCACTTTGACCCTTTGTGTTAGCTCCTACTGCTAATCTTTCCATAAGCGTGAACTTACTTTCAATTTGAAGAAGATGAAAAAGTCTTTTGCAAAACCCCAATACTGTTTTCTGATCTATGTACCTGAATGGAGAATCGTAGTCTTACCTCGTTTTTTTCCACTACAAGCCAAGCTACTTGTAATCCTTCCAAACCTTTAAAGGGGACCTCCCTTGTTAGCATCTCCCAGAGAACCTGGAACAAAAAGAAAATGGAATTTTTATTCTTGTACTTTATATTTTTGGCATATTACTGAAACTTGATCCAACATTAAACTGTATCCAATTACCAGACACAACCAACCCCATCTGTAGAAACTTGAGCAAACCGTATATATTCATGCATAGGACTCCTTCCATATATTATATATATTTTTTTAAATAAAAAAATTCTGGTTTAGAAATTAGACCATCTAGAGCCAGGCTTAAAATTTTATGAAACCAATGCGCCTAAGTGATTTTACTATATCTTGTAAGTTATTAGAATTCTTACGTATTCCCATAAGTTATATTTTATATTTTATTAGTCAAAACTCTTTCCGCCTTCTATCTCTGATAAGTTTCTCTATAATAACAGGGAATTCAACCATATTTTTAAAAGTTTAATAATGGTCTCACATTAAAAAAAAACACCAAGCCCTAAAATCTAAATCACTTATCCCACATCGTAGGTACTTGCAAAATTACATTTAGATTTTGTGTTTTAGAGAAATCTCTCAAAATGAGTCAGTCTAGGAGATTAATTTTCATCCACCTATATATAAAATAATTTATTATATTATATTCTAAGATTTAGTAAACACTTTACATACATATATAAGACTGAGTTTTGTGAGTGAGTGTGTGTGTATGTGTGTGTGTGTGTGAGAGAGAGAGAATATTTATGTATATGCACATCTCTCTGCAACCCTTGAGGTCAGTATAATTATTAAGTCTGCACCTGAGTGTCCAAAGAAAGCAAACTGATTCTGGGAAGGATGAAAACAGCCAATGACTTTGGTTTCTTTTTAAATACGTGGTAATTTTTACACTCACTTTCTCTATTTATTTGAGTCTACCAATATAAATTTGAGTCTACCAATACTTTGTGAAGTGCAAAAACAATTATGATTTTATCAATAATCATAACAACCACAATCATTTATTATGTTTCAGGTACTCTGTTAAACCCTTTACATATGTTATCATGATTAATATCAATCCCATTGGGTAGATATTACCCTTATTTCATTGATGAGGAAACTAAGGCTTAAGCAAGTTAAACAAAGGCACTCAGTTATCAAGTGGCAGAGCTAGAATATGAGCTTGCTGTCTCACCCTGAAGGTCAAGCTCTTAACCCCATGTAAGTCTAGAGAAGGAAAAGCTGAAGTATGAAAGAGAATGTGACATGCCACATTTTAGGTATGGAGCCATGGCTGAAGCAATGATATCAACAGTTTTGATTTAGATTTCTCTTGTTCTAAAAACAAAAACAAAAAACCAATTCTAAATAAGAATGCCAACTGAGAACATATACTCTATTCAAACAAATCCTATAAACCTTTGACTCTATATCCACTATTTCCTGGGTCGGTGCTCAGTCTTTTTTGAGCCGTGACATGTTAAGTGAATTCTGGTTAATATGAAGATAATTAGCAGGAAAATCAGGGAAATTGGCAGATGCTGTTCAAGCAGGAGAAAAAAAAAAATCCACCGAAGCCTCTTTGGGCTTTTAATCAAGTGTGTAAGATACTTCTTTCCAAGAGCTACTGAATAATTCTTTTTGAGTCACAGAAGTGATCAGGAGAAGGTAAGGGGCGTCCCAGAAGGGGACGATTCTAGCGCACACCATGGGTCAAGGCAGAATGAGTACAGGTATGCAATCACACCTGACACATCGCCTGCACAGGGAAGGGGGGGGAAGGGGGCAGTGAAAGGGCTGAGCGGGAAATGAAGCCCTTCAATTTGTTGTAATTACCACTCCCCTGGTGTTGGGGCTGGGGAGGGGAAGGGATATGAAGAGCAAGCAAATTAATGGATTTGGCATTCCTAAGGAGAATGGGAATCGCGAATCAGCCCAAGTAAATCAAATGCACCCGACTCCCACACGGTCAGAGCAGCAGCCTTGCGCCCCTCCTTTCAGAGTTTGGCTCCCATGCCCAATGATTGCGCATGCCCACACACTAAGACTGACCGGGTTTTTTGTGAGGTGAAGTACAAAACCAAGAGCTCGGGGAATAACACCAGAGAAAGATTTATATCGTTCTTTATTCCAAAAATTTCAGTTGGAAAAGGACCAAAATCGAATAAGGTCCTAGTTATATTTCTCTAAGAGTTCTAACTCTGGAAAAATAAGACGGTTTCATTTTACTCCCTCTCTGTGTCTCTAAAGAGCTACTGCAGCCGAGGGAGCCGCTTGATGGATGTAAAACGGCCAGGGACGGCGTCACTAGCTGCTGGGTTCTGAAGCCCAAATGAGGCCTTTAGTTTAATCCCAGTATCAGCACAGCTCATGATTTCCTATTATTGATTCACGAGGTTAAAGAATGTATCAAACAAGTAGGTGGTATGAGGTAGGACACCAGCTTTTTCTAAACACAATGACATTTGGCACAAAAATGTAACTTTGTTGAAATCCTTGGGAGATCTAAAAATAAATTCAACGGTGCCTGAAAATACCAAGTTATGGGGATGCGGGTGAAACACTGTGATTTTTCAACCTGAAAAATATTTTCCAACTCATTTTATATAGCGATGTCCTTACGTTTAAACTGCTCCCAAGGAAATGTTCTGTTTTTCAGTTTACAGAAAAGAAACGTCCTTGGACAAGGTTCTGTACTTTTCCTGCCTTTTCTTTCACAAACAATGCAAAGCCATTACCTGAGCGGGGCCTGTTCTGGAACATGGCTCCCAGACAAGTGAGGCAGTGATGTTCTCTCAACTCTATGTGCAAACCTGGCTTTGGCTGAGGCGCTTCTAAGCCGGTAATCCTTCCTGCATTGTCATTAGGATAGCTTTGTTTTTAAAGAGTGGCTAGGCCTTGTGTTCACAGAAGGCTTATTCTTTCAATGATTTTTGCTTCCAAATCTTTTTTTTTCTTTTGTGGATAACATACTAAACACTCCTCGCTTTGGTCCTTCAAGAGAAGTCACCATAAGGGGGAAGAAAAAAACCCTCTTGTCTTATAAAACAGAGAGAAAAAAATTGTCTGCCTAGCATGGTGTACCACCTTAAGAGGAAGAACTTTAAGATCCATTTCTTTGCAGCACATTTATTTTAAGGCTGTATAAGGGTGGTTTAGTCTTGCCATGTGTTAAGAAGCAACATAGGATTAGCAAGCTGGGGAGGGCTCAGGACTTTGATAATATTAGGGGGTAAATTCTTAGAGCAAGTCTGAAAAAAAATAAAAAAATAAAAAGAAAAAATATATTGGGTTTTTGAGGTGCGTTTCAAAAAACAACGTTTTTAATGGTGTCCTTCATCGGTATGTGACCGCAATGTGTGTGGGGGCTTGATGAACAGAATAGAGTTTTAATAAACTATGGGGTGATTTATGCAAAGAGATATGCTCAAAGATATTTATGCTCCTAATGACAAACGAATCCTGACTACTCACCTATTTTTGAAAGGACATCAAAAACTCTAAATAATCACATTACTTTCCTAGCTAGGTGTCATTTTCAAAGTTTATGGACTATAAACTTCTAAAACTAACACGGCCCCTAACAACTGTTCTCTCCTGCTCTTTTAGATAATACCCACTTTGAACATGCAATACTTTCATTTTTTAAAAAAAATTGTGATTGTTTAAACAAAAAGTTTGTGAAAAGTATGGTTTTTACTTTTTCTTTCACTGATGGTGTTTATCTAGAACAGAATGGGAAGGGGTCAGAATTTAAATAAAACCCTGAATTCTCATTTATAATTAAATTAACGTATGTGTACTTTTCTGAATGGAATTCTGCTGATACAGCTATGCAGTGAGGGTAAGTAGCATTCTAAGTAAACCTCTCTTTCCAATATAGCAAATAGTAGAAGCTGTTTTAAAACATTCACTGAAAAGGTGTTTTTGTTTTCATCAGTTAAAAGAAAACTCTAACATGAACGTACAATTGATATTCCAAAGCACGTGACTGGGGCAAGTGGGTTTTGGACAGTGACGTCTGGTATGAAAATATAAAGCGACCCTGGAAATGTTCAGTGTGACCAGCTGTAAAGTTTGCTGGAGTGAGTTAAATTACTTGACAGGATGATTTATTATGCATTTGTTAAATCCCTCAGAACAAAACAAAGGTAGGGTCAGTAAACAATTAGAAAACCTATTTCGCAAAGAAAAATGTTCAGGCCCATCTACTGAAAAGCAGTGCACAGTCATGTGAAGGCAAGTTTAACAAAATAAACAGAATATTTGCAGCTTCGGAAAGGTTGATTTGAACTATGTTTCACATGAGGGGGTCAATATGAGATGAGTGAAAAGGATTTTTAAAAGATATAGGAAAAACATCCTAAGCTCCACAGACAGAAATCAAATTGTAATATCTTTTATGGTTGACATGTGAAAAGGAATTCGTGCTTGGTTACTGGAATTGAGATTCTACTTCAGCTAAGGAAAAGCAGGTAGGTGCATTTCACACTGAAGGCCCTGGCAACTGTAACGTTTTAGAAGACAGCAGTGTGAAGTTTGTTTTCATAAATGAAATAATATTGAAACTAAAAGTTCACTCTACATAATTCATAGTTGTGTCTGAGATCGGGAAGTTCCAAGCCTCGGGGAGAATTTGAAAAGTAAAAGTGCTGTACGAGAATTTGTAGAGTGCTAAAATGAACCTCAAAAGTCTTCTAATTCATATACATATGCAAACTAATTTAAAAACATAACCATCTAAATATGTTTATATATATTTATATACACATGCAAGTGAGAGGAGTGAGAACTGTGGTCTCCTGTTGAATCACTGTTGATTCTCAGCCACGCTGCTTATCTTCTAATTCCTGCTGTGCCACAGAGGAGTCTGCAAACCATGGCCTACTGCAGGATGCAAAGTGGTTTTAGCATTTTTAAAGGGTTGGGAAAAAAAATGCAATAGAGACTATCAGTGGCCCTCAAAGTCTAAAATATTTACTATCTGGACCTTTGTAGACAAAATTTGCTGGCTCCTGTTCCACAGGATAAAAAGAAACACTGGTCCCAACGAGCAGGCAAAGTCAAATTTAAAGGACCTTAAGTTGATGTCTCTCACAGTGCCTGACACAGTAAATAGATTTTTGCTTAAAAATGAAGGAACATAATTTCATAAGAGGAAATAATATCAAAAAATCTTAACTTGCAAATTCCCCCTTTTTCAGGCTCCCTAAGCAGATGATTTGAAGGATGGTTAGAATGTAGTAACTTTTGACGTAGTGGACCAGTTTTAGAATCTAGTCTCTTTAGGAAATTATGTTTTTTACCTCCTTCTTTCAATGAGAATTATTTGAACACTATCTATAGTCTTCATTCTTAGAAACACAAAGAATTAAGAGAAATTAGATATTTAGCCTAATGCTCCTGTTGTCTTCTGACCTTTAAAATTCAAGCTTTTTGCCCAAAACATATATTGGGTTGTCAGAAAAGTCATGATGTATTTTTTCTGGTTTTCGTTGCAAAAATGTGTCATGACTTTTCTGACAACCCAATATTTCATCCTTGAAATAAGTTTTTCCAATAGCCAACAAAACTGATCTCTATTATATTAATTTGGATACATAAGATGCATGATGATTTAGAAAAAGCTAGCCAACTGGAACAAGCCTAAAACTTATGTAATGAAGCAGCCATAAATACCTAGAGACTGAAGAACTCTAAAGTACAAGGAATGGGTTTGACAATGTCGGTTGCCTCTTGTGCCATCAGGAGTCACACTCAGTTGAAAATACAGAAGTTCAGGAAGAAGGGACATGTTGATTTGGGCCAAAATTAGTCCGCTTCTTTTTGCATTATGAAAATATCCTTTTAAGAAGTAATAATTTAAATAGAGAAGGCAGTCTGATTCGAAGATGAGAAGTGAATACAGGGCGTTCCAAATACTATTTTGGTCTTTTTAAAGGATAGATATCATTTTGAGAAAAATTTACCCTCAAAAACGGGCAACAAATGAGTTCCTTCTACCATCAAACGACCGTCCTGTCCATCTTCCCCCCCACCTCACTACTTCTCCTATGCCCCCCTTCCCCTTCCTTCTCTCTGCTAATTCAGATATAAGTTATTCTGCAAGAATGATCCATCTCCAAATTCCAGAAGTTTCTGCTCCTTACCAGATTCATTCCTGTGGTCTCTAGTCCTCGAGCACCACCCCCATTATTCTATTCCTATAACTATGTTGCTCTGTTGTTATTCTTAAATGATATTTTAGATTCACGTTTCAGATAGCCACTACTGCTAAAGGCCACGTGCTAAGGGCTAAGCACACTTTCTTCTGTCCTTTCCAGAAACTCAGTAATCCAGTTTCAAAGTTGACACTCAAAAATTTCCTGTTAACTGGCTCATTTGGCAGATCTGTTGGTGGTTTGTGAGCAGCTCATTACAGTGAAGTCCTATTCCAAATGCTCCACATTTCTACTGATTTACAGAGATATTCGACAATCATCTGTCTTCCCAGGAAAGCACTCTTCACAGGGGTGCATCGGGCCCACCACTAGTTCAGGTCCCATCTAATTTGCTTCCTAGAAGCAGCATTTGTTTCTTCTCACAGAGGACAAAAGAACTCAGATGCACTAAAGTGATCAATGTAAGCAGTCTAGTCATCACAGCGTGTTCTCTCCGCTGTCGCTGCTCCAGGCATTCCTCCAGAGCGCAGCGTCCCACTTCTGCAGGTTGTTTGCCTGCTGCATTTCCTCTAGCAACCCAAAATGAGAAATGAACTCACCACACCATAGGAATATGTGTCACAAGTTTCAGACACAGGGAGGCTCTGGATAACTTCTGGAGCCATCCAGGGGAAAGTTCCAACCAAGGACATGTGTGTTGTGTGGTTATGGAACCGAGAGGCACCAAAATCGCAGATCTGAAAAAAGAGAAACAAGTATCAAGTTTCTACTTATTGACTAATAAAAAATACAGTCACAAAAACCTACATCTGAAATTAACAGATTTTTTTTTTAAAAATCAAAACAAATAGTCCTACCTTCAATACGCCATCCATAGTTATAACAACTAAAAAAAAACAAAAAACCAAATAAATTATGACAATCATTAATTTGAGTTATACTGAAAAAAATCATAAACTTCTATTTCTATTTTTCATATAGCATTATGAAAGGTAAAATCAAAGCAGTTACTGCATTGAAGATTTTGAAAAAAGGAGTTGACATTAAAACAAAACCAAAAGAAACTAATTCCATGAGGTGCTGATTAACAAGGCTTTCAAACAGCTATATAAGATGTCAGAGGAGTAGCAGCTTGGGGGGTGGGAAGGGTTATCACTTTGTGAAGGGTGTAAATGTCTATTATGTTGCTTTGTACACCTGAAACTAAAAACCAAAAAAAAAAAAAGAAATGCAGCACCACTATCCAGTAAAAAAAGCATAGATTAGTACTAGTCAGGAGAACCAAATTTTTACCTGGGTTCTGCCACTGGACTGCTAACACGATATTGAGGATGTCATTAGCATTATTATTTCACGGTATGTACGGTTTTCCCTCCCAGCTGAAGAGTAATGTTTTTGAAGGCAGGGACAATATGCATTCACTCATTTAGTCACACACTCATTTATTTAACAGATATTTGCTGAGCACCTACTATGGGTGAGGCCATGTCCTACATTCTATGTTCTGGAAGAGAAGGGGGGAAGAATGGCATTGTTTCTGCTCTCACGGCATTTACAGTCTAATGGGCAAGACAATAAAACACACATCTCTAATGAAGTGGGCTCAATTCCACGATGGCAGCCATGGAGGCTGCCATGGAACTAAAAAGCAGGGATAGCTAAGTCTAAGGAGGTCAGAAGAAGTTTCCTGGAAGGAATGATGCTCAGGTTAAGACCCAAAGAACAAGCTGGAAGAACCAGAAATTGGAGAGCTGGGGGAGAGAAAGTTTTCTAGGCAGAAGAAAGAGCCTTGGGAAAAGGTCGGCAGAGGAAAAGGCATGCAATTTTGGAAGAGAGGGGCCAGGCCCAGGAGAGCCTCTGTGAGAAATGGAACGCCGGTGAATGATTTTTAGGGAAGAAATGCATGGACACACGTGCAAGGGGAGAGTACATTAGAGAAGAACAGAACTGGAGGAAGGAGACCACTGTGCGCGCCAGTTGGTGTAGTCCAAGAGAGATGAGGCGGCCTCTGGTAAGGCAGCAGCAAAGGGCAGGAGAGAACTGGGCCAAGTCAAGAAATACTCAGGAGGCTGAATCAACTGCGCTTGAATAACTGGAGATGGGGGAGAAGGAGAACTCAAGGATGAAATCAAATAAGGAGGCAATACGGCATCATGGTTAGAACAGGAGCTCTGGAATCAACCTGTAGTTCCTTTTTATCTAATTTCTGGTGTAGGCGACTGGTATTGCCACTCCTTGAGAAAGAGGATATAGGAATAATTTTTCAGGGGGTTGAGAGAAGATGAAAAGATCAATTTGGACACACAATATCTATGTGGCCATCCATGTTCAATAAACACAGTTTTGAAGTTGAGATCTGTTGGGGAGTGTTAATACGTAGATGGGGCTTTTATGGGAGAGGGAGACTAAGAGCTTAAGAGGAGAGGAGGACAAAGAACTGCTTCTGGCATTTCTTTTGTAAGCCACACACCGCCTTGAACATGGTAGGTGATCAATACTTTTTACTAATGACTTTGATAAGTGGGGAAGATAATCTTTGCATGATCTAATATACATTTAAAATAACCTGAGGGTAAATGTGATACTATGTACAAGCTCTAGATTTTTTCATATAAAAATATAAATACTGTTAATACTATATTCAGTTATTTAAAAATACCTCTGCTACTTTTTTTTCTCCTTATAAGATTAACAAGTGCTCATTTAAAAAAATCTAAGATTATAATAACATATAACATGGAAAATAAAAGAGTCTTATTCTTCCTGCTCCTAGAAAAAAATCGCTAAAATTTAGGTCTATAGTGTTTCAATGTCTATGTGTTTTCCCATAAGTAATTACACAAATAATAATTTTTTAAAATGGGGACAGTCTTCACTGTTTAGTTTTCATAATGACAGCATGAATAAACCCATAATTTAATCCTTCTCCACTAGAGAGATATTTAGGGTATACTGATAAAGCCGATTAAAAGCACAGAAGTCAAATAACTTGTTTAGACTGAAATTTTGAGCATGAGCTAAAAATTTACAAAGTCATAAAACTCTGATAACTTCCTACTAGATTCTCGATGATTTTCTAATGACTTCCTGTTAGCCAACTATATATATCAAGCATTTAGCTCCAGGAGGCTTATGTCTAACAAGAGGCAATGGATAAGTGATGACCTACAAAAAGGACAGAACAATCAGCCAAAGCCAACTGGCAAGGTCAAGCTGGCGATCCAACCTGGACTACAGATGAGTGACAGTGGCCAACAATTTTCCTTTCTCCACCCCCACAAACCTGGCACTCTTGGAGTATGAGCAAGGGCAGCT